CACAATCAATCAATCAATTAATCAATCAATCAATCAATCAATCAATCAATCAATCAATATCAATCAATCAATTAAACCTTTTTTTTTTTCAAGTTTTTTGTTTATTTATTTTTAAATTTTGAATCTTTATTTTTCTAAAACAACTCATACCCCTGCAAAAAACAGAAATTCATTTCTAAAAAAAGTTAGGTGAACTCAGGGACCATATATCCGATGATAAAAAATGACAAAAAAAAAATCCAACTTTTCTTTATATATATATTTTTTATGTTTTTAAAATCGAATTTAATTTTTGATTTTAAAAAAATCCTAAACAAAGTCGGATTGCAAAAAAACAAAAATGGGGTTGTAGGGTTTAAAATTCCCTACAACCCCATATATATATATATATTTTTAACCTATTATTCAATTCAGGAAACTTTTGGTAAAATGTCCGCGGTGCGGACAAGGTAGGCCGCGGATGCGGACCCGTCTGCGTCCCCCATCCGAAATTGGACCCGCGGATGTGACATAGCCTGATGGGGCTTCACCGTCTAATGATAGCGAAGCAGGGATGAGTTTCTCGCCTGCGTCGGGACGTGTCAGGTCTAGTACACCTCACACGGGCAAGCCTCATTCGGTGCGATGTAGACTCGATCAATAACTGCGCCCGAGTTCCATTGCAAGGGCGATGGGGAAGAAGTTGTCCTCCCTTGCTCATAGCTCGGGAGACAAGTTCGATTCCAAGGGTGATGGGGAAGAAGTTATCGTCCCTTGCTCATAGCTCGGGAGACAAGAAAAAAAAACATTGTTCTTATGAGAACGTGTTTGACCAGCTCCTTGAGTGGAGTGCTGCCCACGTTGATGAGCTTATGTCGACGTACGGCTCGAGCGAGCAGTCGTCTGCCCATGGAGGTTCTTGCGGCCGGGGGTCGGCGTCAACCGTCACTCCGCGATCACGAGGTGGTAGACCTCGGAGTAATGCTTTGAGGTGGCGCGACGACAAGGACGGATTGGTGGATATTGGTCCGAGGTTTGAGAGGTTGACGATGAGGGACCGCATGGCTATGTGGGATGCACCGGTAAAACCTGATGTCGTGTTTCTTAAACTGGTGAAACTTCTCCAGATTCTCGGCATGTTCGAGAAATCGTGTCCTCAGCATGGGAAAGAGGTGGAGGTGACGATCAAGAAGATACGTTATCCTTCTCACATTTGTAAGTTGCAATTCGAGTGTGGGAAAGGGTGCTCGTGGCACTGGAGTTCCGCGAAGGTTGTTGCTGGTGGAGTGAGAGATTCGAGGGTGGAGACTCAATTGTTCCACTCCACTGTGGCTGTGGGGATGACGTACACTCAATTGAACAACCTCTTGCTGGGCCCGGGGATGAAGAAGGTTAGGAAAGAAACATTCCACAATTTTTTCCATGACGAAGGCAAAGGTTCTTGACATTGGCTGCGACATGTGGAACGAGTTACCCAACAGAGCTTCGAAAGGCTAATCGCACGTCTGCGTAGATCTAACGATCCGATTGTCATTTTGGTCGACGGGCGTTACGATTCATCTCGTGAGGCGCAACATTGTACGGTGTCGACGTTGGATTTGAAGTTTGGGATGATCATGGGTACAGAGACGATGGTGAGGGGGGGCGAGTCATCATGGCGGCTGGAAACTCAGTGTGTGGAGAAACTTCTTTATCTGTTGAAGGACGAAAAAAACCTGATAATCGTCGAGGTTGTGCATGACGATTGTGGTGCGATTGACGTCATCTTACAACGAATGAACATTGACTCGCAGAAGTGTATGCGGCAGAAAGCCAAGACCTTGGTGAAACGCTTGCGAGAGGCTGTGCGTGCCGCGAAGACTGCGAAGCCATCTGTGGTGGGCGCTTGCGAACACGTGCGCGAGGTGAAGTATTTCACGAAGAGGGAGCTCAAAGTTTGGCTCGATACGAAAGGTGTGTGTGTGCGTGTGCGTGGGGTGGCTACGAAAAAGAAGGACGAGCTCGTTGAAATAGTATGGGGTGTGCTCTTTCCCAACGAAGCAGGGAAGCCGTTGCCAGATGATGTCATTGAGATCGACGCGTTGGAGGCCTTGCATTGTAGTGCGGCGGAGGAGGCGAAGGAATGGTTATATGGCACTTGCAGGATAAGTGAACCGGTGGGGGATGACGACGACGATGTGTTGGCCTCGCATGGGAAACGCCTGGCCAATCATTGGGCTAAGGATCATTCCCTCTGAGATAAGGAGTTGTCAAACCTGTGCAAGGCGGCCGACGGTTCGGACAGAGAGCCATTGTACGAGGCTGGTAGTCGGGTTCATGTGGCCATTGGTTGATGTTTGCAGCAATTCGCTTCCAACACGAAGATGGCATACTACACACGAGTGAGGATGACTTTCAACAACGAGTGCTTCCACTCTGTGATCAACGAGTACTGCACGAAACGATTGAACTTCCCAAAGTCCTACGAGGCGCGACTTTGTTGCACCGCGTTAAAATAGAAAAAAAACAAACAAATCAGACCATCGCGCACTTTGTACCGCAAACCTACGAACGTCACACAGCGACGCCGCTCCTCACGACGTCACGTCTACCCCGCCCGGGATACATCGTGGCGGTTCGACATTGCAACAAAAGTTTTGGGGAGTCCTCGGATCGGGGACTAGGCCTGTAACATATTGCAGAAATTGCACGTCGACGACCCGCTTGTTGAGCATGCTGATGTAGAAGCTGATTTTGAACTCCCGGTTGCTGCTGAGACCGTGGCCCACGGTGACAAAGCTGAAGGTGGTGAAATTTTGTTAGAATCGGGGAGCGATGATGACTCAGATGGCAAAAAGTCATCCTCGAATTCCGAATGCGAGGGGGGCGCTCAGCGCCTCAACTTCGACAGCGCCGTGCTCTCATAGGAGGTGTCCGTTGTGTGGGAGTGATAGAGCCATATGGTTGGGGAATGACATTGTCGTCATGTGCAATTTGATATGTCACTTCGAAGTGTGTTCGATGTTTGTTATGACTGACTACAAAAAAAAATTTGGGTTGCAATTTCGTAAGTGCGATTCGAAAATGTTGAAATTTCACAATGGTTGTGTGAGTTGCTTTCCGTTTCGTTACATATATGCAATCCGTAAAATATGTTGAAATGCATGGCTGCATCAATCACCCGTATGTGTGCTGCTCTTCGTGGTTATGTATACATTTTTATACTATTTGACATATATGTATATAATATAATAGCTTAGCGTCCGCGCTGCGGGTGGTGCGGGCAATGCCCGCACGTAAAAGAGCAGAGAGGCTAGTCAATCATGAACATTGTGTCAAGATCTTGACTCACCACCCACCAAACCTGCACCGGGCCGCTAAGAAGTGCACATGAATGTTTTGATTTTTATATATACTAAGGAATATATGTATTTTTTTTTTTTTTTTAAGTACAGGGACCCCGTACGGGACCCCGAACACCCATACGTATGAAGGTCTGCCCGGGGACCTCCGTACATACGGGCTGGTGACCCTGTATGTATATATATATATATATATATATATATATATCGTCACAAACAGAACTGTCCGGTAAACCGTAGGCAGAGAGAGAGAAGAGGACAACAAACGAGGGGCCGTGACAAACTGTTTCGTCGGAGTTTCACCGACTCATCAGGAGGCTGAACCCTCAACAGTCTGCAGAATCCCCTCACTGATTACACTGTAAATG